ACGCATGGGAGGGGTTAGGATGAGGGCTCCCCTTAGGACAGCTCGCCCGTGGAACAGGAACGGTTGATGAGAGTGAGACTTAGTAGTATCCACAGTCTATGTCTGTCTGAACTAGGACCCTACAGACCGCCCATGGAATGAGGAACAGTTGATGAGAGTGAGACTTAGTACAGTCTATGGCCAGTGCTGGTGGAGCTCTCCGCAGGATTGGTTGGGTTGCCTGCCTCCTATGTTCGGTTCACTATCAACAACGATGTAGTAATGACAACAGTGTGCACAGCAAACAACCTAACAACAAACAACAGTGACAACAGCTGTGTACACAACGATAGGAAAGCAAAATAGGTCCACCTATGGGACTTGTAGTGAAACGTCTGTATCTAGCACCTGAAGTACCTGGGCGACAAGGCTCGCACAAATATGCTTCTATCAGGGCTGAGTGGGGGATGTGGGACTCAGCTTAGCCCTGGTACCTACAACCATGGTTCGGTCAGGTCACCCCCAAGGCTGGAGGGTGACAATCCTGAGTGGTAGACACTGAGGTAGGATAGTGAGAGTAGGAGTGCGCTGGGAGAAATTACGAAGGAGGTAGGTTGGGAGGGAGTCCTATAGGATTAGGGGGCCTCTACCACATGGCCGAGTGCCGAAGGTGAGTCAGACTCTCATATGTCTGTAATCCAGCCTCTACAAGAACCTGGGATTTCTACTTAAAAAAAAAAAAAAAAAAAAAAAAGGAAGGATGCCCTTGTCTCTGGCTTATTTCCCCCTTTTGCATTGCATCGACTCAGGGCATGCTCACATGAGGATTCTCTCAAACAAGCTCTGGACCTGATTGCGGTCAGATTCACCCAGGGTCGGGCATAATTGCAATCAGATGCATTTACAAAAGTGCTAGTGCGAGTGTGTCCTCAGATAGAGTCCTCTGCAACAGGATTTGTCCTTTGTCCTTTGCTTGCTATTGAAAGTATTTCTTCCTGATAAGTTGTTTTTTTTTCCCGTTTTCGTCTACAAGAGAACAAATCGATTTTTTTTAAAATCCCCCTTGCACTTCGATTTACCCAGTCGTGCCCCTGAGGCCTCTGAAGTTTCCTGCAGGCCCCTGTCAGTGAGGGGTGCAACTTTCCAGCATACCCCTGTGGCCGTCAGTGGCACTCACGGCCCTTCCTTTGGCCCTAGGAGGGGAGCTAGGGGGCATACTGAAAAATTTGGGACTGGGCACCGGTCGGGGCGTATTGAACATATTTTTGGCCCAAATGGCGCCAGGGGTTTTTGGGAAACTTCAATTGTGGTCAGAGGGGCGCGGCAGGGTAAGTCAGCCGTCAGAGGGGCATACCGCAAATAAATGGAAGTTGCAGGGGCATTTTGAACATTTTCCCGAGAAGAAAAGAAGAGGGATCTCCATCACTAAGGGTGTATTTACACTGGCACCATCTTAAATGTATCCAACCCCATTGATGGACGGACCTGGATGCATCCAGCCGCAATTGCGTCCAGTGGCGTCCACAGATACGTAAAAAGTCCTACTGTGAGTATGCCCAACATGACACTGTGTTTGTGGGTGAGCATTATCCCTTGGGCCATGCATCACTTTGCTGTGAGTCTCAGGGCCTCGCCACACCACTCTGGAAACGTGAGAAAGACAAAACTGTGGTGGGCGCATCTGGCCATGCTCTAGCGGGAGGTTCATTCTCATTTTGCACATTTCTATATTGGTGTGGCAATGCCCTCGGAGGAAAATGCAGTGCCAAACTCTAAACTTCCGCACTCTTCTCAATCACATATCGACAAGTGTTAAAAAGCACATAGTTGTCGACAAAATAAGAACGCAAGTAGGATGGCCAAGGTAATGAAAGATATCATCCACCCAGATCAGACAGGATTTATAAAAGGCAAGAACATCCAGGATAATATCCTCCTAGTCAATGAGGTGATTAAGCTGGCAAGACAATCTAAAAGAAATGTTGCAATCATCTTTATCGACTTTGAGAAACCCTATGACCACGTGGACTGGATGTTCTTAGATAAATGTCTGAAAAAATTAAAATTTAGACTCGGATCCAGAAGATGGGTGAAAATCCTACACAAGAATGCAACAACTAGGGTTATGGTCAATGGCAACCTGACACCACCCTTTAACCTGCAGAGATCTGTTAGAAAATGTGACCCGCTGACCCCATTCCTTTTTGTTATAATCATGGAAGCACTGACAACAAACCTGAGAACCCACAACGATATCAAGCAAATTCAAATATCATCAATCCCAAAAGAAGCCATCCCACTCTACTCAATGTTCGCAGATGAGCTCACCTTGATGGTGGATGCAACCCACGAATCCATGATGGAGGTCCAAAATATGATAGGGAGGTTCTGTACTTTATCCGACATGAGAGTTGATTGGGGGAACAAGACTCTCGGTTGGTGGATCCACCACCAAGGCGTAAGACCCCCAGAGAAACAAAAAATCAGATGGCGTCCCAAGAAGCCCCCATTCATGTGCTGGGAGTTTCCTTGACGGGAAATGGCAGGTCACAAGCTAACAATGAATGGATCTCTAAAGCCCCACTAGAGAAGCTAGCACTATGGAAAGATAAACATACCTCACTAGTCGGCAAGTCCCTCATAATCAACAACGTCTTACTTGCATCCCTCTGGTATAGGTCAGCCATTTGGGCCTAGACAAGGGTGCTCTACGCCCCCGCCAACGACAAATATCTTCATTTTTATGGTGAGGAGACCACGAAAAACACAATGTGATAAAGAGGGTCGCAAGACTGGCCGCGGAGACACCGCCCATATCAACCCGCTCGCATGGCTAGAGAACAGGGAATGACCAATTCTAAGGCGACGCTCTCGACAAGATCCCCTTAGGGCTAACACACAAAGGTAAGAAGTGAGGTCAGACCTTCCTAACGACCCCTTTTGGTCGATTCTCCTGAAAATATGGAGGAAGCTCCCTTTGTCAGCTAGGCCTCAATCAGAAAGATGGCACGAGATGGTTTGGCGGTCCCTATTTGGAAACAGAGGGATACTGAAGTCTAGGGGTAAAATCGTACACTGCGCAGACTCCCCCTGAAAAGTTTGGGTGAAAATGGGGGTTCTCAGAATAAGGGATATTTCGGATGAAGACATGAAAGATAGGATCAACAAGGACCAACTCAAAGAGAAACTGTGATACTGCCATAGATTTGAGGAGCCGTAAGAAACCATAATAGCGTACATCCCTTTGGAATGGTGGAAAGTCCTAAGAAAAGGTGCCTCACTACAAGAGTCTAACTGGGTGGCAACTCGGGGCTGTCAGGTGAAGGTTGACAACGTGGTATGTTGTAGCCCGAAGGGACTAGTGGTGGTGGACAAATTCACAATAGGGAACGACAATTCTCTACAAATAACCAATCCAGAGCAAATACAGTTTTTAAAGGAAGAAGGGTTATCAAGAATCTGGATCCTTAGAGTGAAAGACAAATGAATGACATTCCTCTCGGACACCCCGATAACCCAACTGCCTTTGGACCCATTAGAATGAGAGTGGACGACCATAGCCAGCAAAAACAGGGTATGTACTAGAACTTTAGACAACACAACAGTTGAAGCGACATACAAACTGTTTCGCCCAAAAATTAACCTGAGGGATCAGGTGAAAACAAGATGGATGAAACACCTGAATGTAAGCAAGGAGTCTGTTAAGCATGCCGTACGACGTACAGGGCTCTGCTCATACGGTTGTACATATGGTCGTATGACCGTCCGAACGATCCCCGTACGTCATGTGGAACGGGGATGCCCAAGGCAATGCTCGAAGTGGCGGCCGCCGACCGTTCCTCGGCATGTCGCGGGAGGGAGGAGGGAGGGCCCGGAGGGAATTTTTTTTTTCATTTTTTTGGAGGGAAAAAAATAAATAAAGAAAAATTGGTAAAAAAAAAAAAATCATCGAAAGGGCAGGAAGGCCGATGATAAATGTTGTCGGGCAGGTCCCATTAGTGCAGTACTTCGAACTTCAAAGTTCGAACGCACGAGTGAGCGAACGAACGAGAAAGAGAGAGAGAGAGAGAGAGAGAGAGAGAGAGAGAGAGAGAGAGAGAGAGAGAGAGAGAGAGAGAGAGAGAGAGAGAGAGAGAGAGA